GACCCACACAGATCCCACAATACAACATATATTCAGGCCCCCACAATGACACAGCTAGAAGCAGATATTTGGCAAAAGTTACTGCCAGAAGTGGCTGAAGGATGGGCCTGGGAGTCAGGAAAAATTCTCTGTGGTCCTGACTTGGGTAGATTCCATCTGGTTTTGTTAGGCAATGTGTCTTCATTGTCAGACTTTATAGATGCAAAAATGCAGGTGGTGTTAGAAGTTTCATTTCTGCTACAAATTCTGAAAGTACAGATAATCTGACCACATTTACCCATTCACCAACATGCAAGCTTTTTAAACCTATACCAATTTTCACAGAGATTACACAGAAAAATGTGTTGAGTCCTAGTGCAATTAAAATGCCTGTTTTCCTGATTCAAAGCTGTGTGTTATTTTTCAGGTTATCATCAGAGATGGGGAATTGCTGTGTGGAGTCCTGGACAAAGCTCACTTTGGCAGCTCAGCCTACGGGCTGGTGCACTGCTGCTATGAGATCTATGGGGGTGAAACCAGTGGGAAGGTGCTGACGTGTCTGGGGCGCCTCTTCACTGCTTACCTGCAGCTCTACAGGGGCTTCACCATGGGTGAGTGCCTGCAGCACCTCCCGAGGTCTAACCCACACATCTTGGGCATAATGCATGCTAATTGTGTGAATGAAATTCTGCAGAACTGCCTGGAGTGAGATAGCTGCCTGCCAGCCTTTTCTGATCTTGTTTTTTTGGGTTTTTTTTGGTGCATACCTGGCCTTCTAAGCATAAAGAGTCTTGAGTATGTCCAACCATTTCTCTTTTCTGTCCTGCCTAGCCAAAGTGTACACAGTTAATATGTCCTGTGCTGAAATTTTGTTTAGATCAAAACCTCATGTTTTGCTTCTCTGAAAAGTAATTATTGCTTAGAAAGCAGAACAGCTGACAGAACAAGATGAAAGAACTTCAAGGGCTTGGTGTTTAATCCTTGCACATCACATTTTATGGCAAAACTTTTGGTAAATGAGTTTGTAAAGCTTTTATTACAGGTTTTCAAACTTACATAAGAGGTATAGAGACACAGTCAACTATCAGCAGTAGTGAGGGGCCAACACAGGGGTATCTTTTGGAGTGAGGAAGGTGACTGATTAACTCACAGGACTCTGAGAGCCAGGGTGCAAAAGTTAGATAGGAAAAGATAACAAGCCTGGGAGCACTGGGCAGTTAAAACATCAGAGAAGAAGTGAGACTGGAGCAGGAGTTTGGGATTTGGTGTTTTGACACAGCCATTTTAGTGACTGTTTTAGTGTCTGTGGCAGGAATCCTCACAAACAGCTCACAGGAGTTCAGGTTCCAGTGGTTAATCTGTTCCCTGGTCCTGTCATCTCAAGGATCTGTATTTTTAATTTATCTGTTCTTAAAAAGCTAAGAAATGCCAGATTGTGAAAAGTTCAACTAATAGGAAGTTTGATGTGGATGGAAAGAAAAAAAGCAGTTTGATGTGGCTGGTCCATAAAGCATTAGTTTTAGGTTTTTTAGAGACTGTTGAAGTTAAGACTCCTTAAATTAGGGAGCTGATTTTGCACTCTTACTGCTTCGTTTATGTTGCTCTTTTATGTTTTTTCTTTTATGGCTTAGAACTTCTCCATCCAAAAGCTACTCAGATTTTTTTCTTCTTGTCAAACTGCAGGCTCTGGGTCTAACCATCATTAAAACTTTAGCTTTGACTTCCTTTCCCAGCTCTTCACTCAAAATCCCTGACACCAAATGTGGTTCCTTCCTTGATTTTTTTTCAGTTTAGACCAGTGTGTTCTGTCTCTCCTCTTTAACAGGGATTGAAGATATTTTGGTTAAACGTGATGCAGACCACAAAAGAAAAAAAATCATTGAAAGGTCAAGGCAGAGTGGTATTGAAGTAAGTCTGTTTTGCAGATTTATTTTTTCTTCCATAATGCAAAATTTTTGAAATACTGCTTTGTTCAATCATACCTGCTTAACACCTAAAAATTCCTGTATTTTACTTTCAGGCTGTTAGAGCTGCTCTTAATTTGCCAGAAACAGCATCATGTGAGGAGGTGCAAGGGAAGTGGCAGGATGCCCATCTCTGCAAAGACCAGAGGGATTTTAACATGGTTGATATGAAATTCAAGGAGGAAGTGAACAATTACAACAATGAAGTCAACAAGGTTGGCATTGAGTAATCTGTGCATACTAATCTTGTTTAACTTCCTTATTAAGTTAATTAATGTGGATGAGCAGTGCCTGACTCTTCTGGAGGCTGAGGCTTTCCATCTGTCCCCAGCTTGGGGCTCCACATGCTGCCGCTCCTGAGTGAGAAGACAAATTGAAATTATAAATAGCAATGGTTGTGATTGCTCATTGTTTCACTTTGTTAAAGCCTTCCACAGGAATTTCTTGGGTTTATTGTTTTGTGAATAATGTTTGGTTTTGTTCCCTTCACTCCCCACAACTCTGTAGGTTTGCATGCCCCTTGGTCTCCACAGGAGCTTTCCAGAGAACAATTTGCAGTTGATGGTACAGTCAGGAGCCAAAGGATCCACTGTGAACACAATGCAGGTAATGCAATAACCAGAAAATGCTTGGCAGCTCTGTGTGCTGATGTGATGTGTCCTAGAATAGAACTGCTGGGAAGCTCTTGTGGGGATATCTGATACCAGGGCAAGGTTTTCATTCTGGACTTTGGCGTGGAAAAATGCTACAAGAATGTAATAAAGACCTCAGTGGGTGATGGAAGAGAGTCAGTGTTTATTATAACCTATTTTTGAATCGCTCCTCAGTGCATGAGGGTTTATTGAAATAGCAGAACTGCTTTTGAGAAGGAATGCTGCAGTTTATACAAACAAACCTACTGTAGAAGAAATATCTTCTCCTGGCCTCTGTTGGAGACTGACCCTCTCCTTCTTCAGCTTCTGAATAGGAACAACAATCTTTGGTTTTGCTAGAAGTAGAAGGATACATTTTCATTTTACCATTTGCAACACAGACACCAAGCTAGAAACACTCTATAAAGACGCCATCTAAAATGGAGAGAATGACCACAGCTCAAAAGGGAGAGCATTTTGGGTTGAGGTTTTTGTTCTGTTTTTAGTACAATGCTGAGAGGTGGTGATGGTAATGTAGGGACCAAAAAAATGTCTACAGTAATTTTAGTTTCACATTTCTGTGTGAAGTATAAAGAGTGAGGTATTGAGGTAATGTTGAGGATGATTTAGGGTACTGGAATAATTTAAAAAAACCAGGTGAGATCTCTATGCCTTTTCTGCCCCTCAGTAGCTGGAACATTCCATGAACAATTCCACATTGAGCTACAGAGCATTTACTGAACATTTGACCTTTTTTTGCTGTATTTTTCAAGAAAAATCACTAAGCTTATGTGAACAAAAAGCTGGATGGAAAAGTGATGTTTCCTTTTTTCCTGCCCACGTTTAGATTTCTTGTTTGCTGGGCCAGATTGAGCTGGAAGGCCGAAGACCCCCACTGATGGCATCTGGCAAATCACTGCCATGTTTCCAGCCCTATGACTTTTCCCCTAGCTCAGGAGGATTTGTGACTGGCAGATTTCTCACTGGTATCAAACCTTCTGTAAGTTTAAGGCTGCTTGTGTTGATACTGAAGTTTATTTGAGTATTGGTATTTTAATAAAGAGTATCTGCAATTAGAGATAAATGGACTTTGCTCACCCTGGTTTCATGTGAAGCTTTTGAGGAAGAACATAAATTGCCAGTGTTGATGCACTTATTGGCAGAATGCTGATGGTGTTGTGCTTGTGTTTAGGAATTCTTCTTTCACTGCATGGCTGGCAGGGAAGGTCTTGTGGACACAGCTGTCAAAACCAGCCGTTCTGGGTACCTGCAAAGGTGAGAGGCCTGCGTGAGAATTGGAGCCTTTAAAAGCTCCTGTTGTTGGTTGTTGATTTTTCTCTTTTTTTCTGAGAAAGTTCTGTAGACTCTAAGTGCCTGCATTGCTTAGATTTCTGTGTTTGATTTCTACAAAATAGTCTGAATGCTGCTTGTTGTAAGTACAATTTTCTAGAGTTCTAGATCAACATTATCATTTGATCGTTATCATTTGAACAGCATGATCATTATAATTTGATCATTATCATATGAACATTATCATTTCAACAGCAGCAGCTTCTCCTTTTTCAGAAATCATTTTTCTGGTACAAATACAGATAGGTGTACAAGTTCCAGGCAGCTCTAGTTTTTCTTGGCCACATTGAGTGGCTCTTGTCCTTAGTCAAGCAACACCTCCAGTATATATAGAAGAAAATGGGACTTTTAAATTGTATCAGAGGGTAGTGAGGAGTTCTAAAGGAGGGATGCCCCTTCCTTCCAGAAAACTGTTAAAGCATGACAGCAGAAAAGGAGAGTGATTTACTGTTTCATTTTAAGTCAGATCAGTCCAAGGAGGCTGGAGGGAGCAGCAGGCTGAAAGCTTTACAAATCTAGCATTTCACTTGAGTGTTGTGTCTGTAGGATTTTGGCTTCCAGAATTCCTGACCAGCCCTTAAGTACACTTAAGATGTTGATGAAAACAGTGGGTTTTGTGTTAGAGTTGTATCATTTTTGTTGCTTTGTAGCCTCTTAACAGCATTTTTCTTATATTTTGGGTTTTTTTTCCCATTTTTTTCCCTCTGGAATAGGTGTATCATAAAACATTTGGAAGGGCTGGTGGTTCAGTATGACCTGACTGTACGAGACAGTGATGGCAGCGTGGTGCAGTTTCTGTATGGAGAAGATGGGCTTGATATCCCTAAAACTCAGTTCTTACAGCCTGAGCAGTTCCCTTTCATTGCAGAAAACTACGAGGTACAACACCTAAATCTTTAGTATTTATGAGGGGTGGAGGGGAGACTGAAACACGTGGTTAACATCTGGCACATCTGTCAGGGATCCAGTGGCAACACTTGTTTGTCTCAGTTATTTTCAGACTAATGTACAATTTTATTTGCCATTGTATTCAAAGTATGGAAGCAATCTGAAGTCTGCAGCTTGATTTCAGCATCTCAATTTCAGCAGAGCACCAAGCACTGTCTGTTCTAACTCTGCACTTGAATTCAGCAAAGATGACTTCACTTTTCAGTCTGTCAAGTTTGATTCAATTTTACCAGTATCACCACTGGTGATTAACTTTTACCAGTGTCACTGCTTATTATAGAGTGGTGATAATAGCATAAAGTTGTAAGGGTTTGTCTCAGTTGGAATGAAAACCAAATTTGAGGGTTTTGTCTCAGTTGGATTGAAAACCAAATTTGAGAGTTTTGTCTCAGTTGGATTGAAAACCAAATTTGAAAATTACTTTATAGCAATGACCTTCTCACTTTGCTTTGCCTTTTCTGGCACACTGAGGACAGAGAGAAGAATAATCATACCAATTACTTTCTTACAGGTAATCCAGAAGAGAAACCATCTGGATGAGGCTTTAGCAAGGATGGAGTCTCACCAAGCTAACCAGCAGTTCAAAGCCATCAAAAAGTGGCGAGCCAGACACCAAAACTCTGTGCAAAGAGAAGGAGGCTTTCTGTTGTTTTCCCAAAAGAAATTGGCAAGTTTGAAAGCACAGCTTCCAGGAGGTGAAATAAAGAATGGAAGAGATCCTGCTACTTTACAGGTAACACAGAGGCAGTTGAACTGACCAAACTCTTCAAAAGAAGTTACAGAATTCAGTATCTTTTGTTTAATTCTCTGTGAATCTCAAAGTGTTTCACAGTCTAACTAAACAAGTTGCCTTTTAAAGGAATCTTGTCAAGTATGTGGGTGATAAGCTGAGATTTATTAAAGTCTGAGGACCCTAGTGCTAGGGAAGAGGCTAAAAACTGAGATAAATGTGTTGTTAGGTCATGTTTGTGAATGGTTTGGAGTTGTTGTTTCTGTTTAATGGTGGGTTATTTGGTTTTTTCATGTACACAAAGTAAATCTCTCTTACATGGACAGCTGTCTGCTAGCTGGATGAGAGCCTGTTTGAATACCAAAAATCAGAGAGCTGAGCCAGCCCTGCCTAGTTTATCCAAAAAAATACTCCTGCTTAAGCCTCTTGTCCATGACAGCACTGTCTGTAAGACATGGCTTCTACTGAGGGTGGTGTGTGGACACAGAATTCAGACAGGTCCTGCTTCACAGCCTTGCTGTCACAAGGAATTTATCCTGGTGGAACTTGGGCAGTTGGCATGAAACTCCAGGTTGAAGGTGTTGAGAGATAACTGTGTGAGCTTGTCTGCAAAAGCTGTTTTTCCTAATCGAAGGTTCATTGATTGAGCTGTGCTGAATTTGTGTTGCTCTTGACACTTTTTGATAACAACTTCTAGTTTTTGATTTCACTCCCAGTTAAAATAATTCTTTGAGGCATTATTTCACTGCTTTAGTTACTGTGGAGTAGTTACATAAGTTGGGGTATTTTTAGGCATGTAAAGAATCTTGAAATAAATTGACTTGAAAAGTGTTAAATGTCAGGAAAAGGAGCACACCATATTTGCAGCTGAGCTGTTTGCTGTGTGTGTACACCCCTACACTCTGCCCAGGCTCTCCTTTCCTCCTTCACTGCTGCTTGTTTGCTTGTGAATAAAGCAGCCAGCCTGAAAACCTCCTCTCGTTTTCAGTTGTTGAAGATGTGGTATGAGCTTGATGAGAAGAAGCAAAGGAAGTACCTGAAGAAGACAAACAAGTGTCCTGACCCAAGCCTGGGGGTTTGGCGCCCAGATACTTATTTTGCATCAGTTTCAGAAACATTTGAGAAGGGAGTTGAAGGCTATATCAGTAAATGGGAATCTGAGAACAGCCGGAGCTACATGCACACAGCACTTTCTTCTGCTAGGTAAAAACCTCTCAGTGTCTTCTTTGCACTGAGCCAAAACCCAAAATACCTTTTTGCAGCAAATTGGCTAAAACTGAAAAGTCTTTACCAAGCCTTGTTTCTGTTGTGGCCATTGTGAAGCTAAGCAGTGGGTTTCAAAATGGTTCTTGAAAGCCAAATATGTTTAGTGTGCAATGGAGAGGCTCTGGTGATCTGTTCCTTCCAAACCTGAGTTTTCCATGCTGCTGAGGGCTTTAGCAAAGCCTCTCTGGAGCCACAGCAATGTATTGCTGTCCCCATGCATATAAAATAATACTTTATAGTGATCTTGAAAACCAAAGTATGCTCTTGGTGCACCTTGGAGTTAGCAAGGCTGTTAGCAAGTGCAAGTGGGAGTAAATGGACTCTCTTTTGACATTCTGGGAATTGGCAGCAGAACTAAAATACAATTTGGCCAAGGCCCCAGTTCTGTGTTAATGGGCTGTGTTTGTCAGATCAGATGGGGATAGACAATTTTACAGTTTCTGGAGTGTATTTATCTATAAGCTACCAGAAGAAATTGTCTCAAAGTTGTGACTTCATTGAACTGAGCAATGATTTATTCTTTTCTGAGTTTTTTATTTTGCACGTTGAGCTAAACCTCTCATTTCCTGTCTCCAGATTAAAGGATCTGTTGTATTTAAAGTGGCAGCGTTCTCTCTGTGACCCAGGAGAGGCTGTGGGGCTTCTTGCTGCTCAGAGCATTGGGGAACCTTCAACACAGATGACTCTGAACACCTTTCACTTTGCTGGCAGAGGTGAAATGAATGTCACACTGGGTATTCCAAGGTGAGAAAGCTGTGTCCTCAATGGGCCCTTTATTTTAGGCACAGTTGTGCTAGGTACACTAGCAGGTGAATATTGAGGGTGCACAGTCCTTCAGTGCCCTTGTAAATTTTCCCTGTTCGGAATATTTTAATGTTTTACAATTTTCCAGTTCTTTTGGTTCTTTTTGCAGATACTAAAGATCTGTCTACTAAAGAAAGCCCCTTACTCTAATCTGATATACAGCAGATCATCAGTTTATTTGGAATAGTGTGGGTCCTGACCTGGCCTCGTGTGGCAGTGTGGGGTGCCTTAGGTGGGGATTGTGTTGCTTCAGAGAAGCACAGGAGGGGAAGAACACACAAGGAAACATCCATCATGCATCTGTAGGAAACAGATCTCATTAGTCCTTCTGTTCTTGGAACAGTTTATTATCATCTCTTCTCTTTTCATAACTGGGGGAATCAGAGCAGAGAAAAGGAGCAGTGCAGTGTGACCACAGCTCTGGGTGCACATGGCTTTGGTGGAACTGCCAGTTGCTGCATTCTGCCTAATGAAATTACCTAGATAATTACTTGATTTGCATAGTGCTTTTATGGCTTAATTGGAATGATTATTCTTTGTTTAAAGGTTGAGGGAAATACTGATGGTGGCCAGCTCAAACATTAAAACACCAATGATGAGTGTTCCTGTGCTGAATACCAAGAAAGCTCTCAAAAAGGTGAAACACCTTAAGAAACTGCTCACAAGAGTGTGCTTGGCTGAGGTGAGATTTCTTTTCAGTGCATCTTTTGAGAGTCAGAAAAACAAACTCTCCTCTTTGAGCTCATCAGTAGTTTGCTATGCCAGAGTCTTTGGCTTTTTCTCAAACACATTTTCCTCTGTCTGTAGAATTGGAGGGATTCTGTTTTGTCTTTGAGACAAGCTCATCTGGCTGTGATTGACATAGAGCTCAGATAGAAACCTTTCTATCTGTCCCCCATTCCTTCCTCATCTCACACACATTGCTGTGCTCACTAGAAGCAGAACATGTGTCTCTGTGGAGATTGATTACACTGGAATGTGTTCTGGCACTGCACCCTTGTGCTCCCCTCCATGCCCTCCCCTTTCTATTTTTCCACCTCTTGTGAGTTGAAAGCAGCCAAAAATCAGGTTAAGACTTAGCTCTGTCCTGCTCTGTGAGCATGGTCAGTAAAATGAACCTGTGGGCCTCCTGAGAGGGGTAATCTCTTGTGAAGGAGGTGGGTGGGAGGTGAGGCTTTTCCAGTATTGTCTGAGTTAATTGTTGGGAAGACAAAAAGTGCAGTAGGGTACAGTCCTTTTGCCCAGGAGCCTCCAGAAAAGTTTGCCAGTTAGCTTTGTGTAATTCTGGTTTCCTGTGAAAAGCAGAACTGCAGGAAGCAAATGAGTAACATCATCAAAGGAATAACATTCCTACTTGGGAATGTTTTGTAGGTCCTGGAGAAGGTGGACATTGAGGAGTCCCTGCATGTGAAACACAAGCTGAACAAGCATCGCCTCTACAAAATCAGATTCCATTTCTTGCCCCATGAATGTTACCGGGAGGAGAAGTGTGTGAAGCCCAGGCAGATCTTGCACTTCATGGAAACAAGGTGAGTTTGCTTTTAGATACTTTAATTTGCTTTTCTTTTGCTTTTTTATGGGTTTTGCATGTGGTTGATTACAGCTGGTGTGCCTTTTAGAGCAACAGTTCCAGCAGAATTGCAGAAAAAAATGACACATTTTTTTGAATAAAATTGACAATTTTATTATTCAAGTTCAGTAATGAACCATCTCTTCTGAAGGCCAATTTGATGTGCAGATTTTATATCCAGATGAGTGTATAATTTTATGCTTTGGATGCACAGCTATATCTGTGACAGTAACAGAGCTCATACCAACCTTTTGATTCCTAAATTAATGAGAAAAGGTTGAGAAAAATTATTTGCATTATCCTAGAAGTACTTTTATCCAGCAGGGAATAATGTCCTGTTATGAATTATGTTAACCAAAATAAATAAATTTTTTGACAACTTGACATTTTCTGTGGCACTGCTGAACTTTGACATTCTGAGTTGCTTCTCTGTCAGGTTTTTTAAAGTTCTTCTGGAAGCAATTAAAAGGAAGACTACAAAGATGGCATCTTTTAATGAAGTCAGCACTCGGAAGACAACTCGGAAGGATTTAGATGATGAGCAAGACAAGGTACAACAGAACATCACCTGACAAACACCTCATTTCCTTCACTGGTGTTGAGAACTAGAATTGGAAAAGTGTAGCATGTTTCAGTGCACACCAAATGTGTGAATACTAAAGTACTACTGAAATACTTAGTACATAAACTGTCTTTGTGTTCTCATAAAATTAACAAGAAAATTGAAGTTTTTGTGTATTAATTCCTGATTTGCTTAAGACTGTACTCTGAAAATGCCTGCTCATTTTAGCTTCTTTAGGACAAAAACACATCACTCTTCTTGCTCTCAGATCAGGTTCCTGTTGGAGCAGTGGTTGTCAAAAACTTTGGGGAAGCTCCTTTGTTCATAGGAATGCTTTTGCATGTTCCTTCACTCCTCTCCCATCAAGGAATGTCAGAGCAGAGTGACAGCTTATCCATCTTGTAGACATTCATCTTGTTAAATGTTGAAGTTATCAGGAGCACAAGTTCATTTCTTTATAGTAGTGGACACACAGAAACTAATTTTTTCTGTAAAGGCGGAACATTGAACAAGAGATTGTTAAACTCCAGATGTTTGGCTGAAGCCTTTTGATGCTGTTGGTACTGACTGGCAGTCAGCCTGATCATCTGTCTGTCGTGGATTTTTAGACCCTGAACAATCTGGAAGCTGTAGCAGAGGAAGAAGAGAACATTGTTGATGCAGAAGCTGATGAAGGGGATGGTGATGCTACAGAAACAAAACGGAGGAAGAACCAGGAGGAGGAGGTAATGGCTTTATAGGTGCTCAGCACTGCTCTTGAATTCCCTGTTTCTTCTGTGTTTGAATTGGGAAGGAAAACCTCCATTGAAACAAAATGCTGAAAAAAACCAAACCCCACTTGAAAGAGAAATAGAGGTTTTCTCCTTCTTTGGGCTGAAGAGTTTTCATTTGTGTCTTTGCTGAAGCTTTGTTCTTCAGGCATTTGGGTGGGTGTGTCTGGCAGTCAGGCTGTGCTGAAGTTCACCTTAATTTTATCTTTTGCTAATTCCAATGCTATTAATTGTTTTTAACACTTTACTGTGGTTCTTAAAAAATAGTTTCCCTGCATGTTTCTATGTGTTCAGTACTTCATAATAAGCTCTTAAAAGGTGGAGTGCTGTAATTTCAGCAAGAGGGTGGGGTAACTGAAATTCTGAGGGAATCCTATCATCAGTTGGATTATGGGAAGAAATTGGACTGTCTCGGGGACAGCAAACTAAATTTTGCTACAGTCTCAACATCCTGTAGCATCCTGGACTGTGCTGAGAAATAATGGTAAGATTATAAAGAAATAAAGACTGAACTGAATATGTTGTGTTATTTTCTTTACAACAAAATTGCATTTTCTTTGTGCTGTAGGGGCAAGATCCTTGCAACTCAGCAGTGAAGAACATCCCAGAATTGGACTGTTGCTGGTGTGCTGTGTCTCTGTACAGGTTCTGGCTCAGATAAACACAGAGTTATTTCTTTGCAGGTTGATTATGAGAGTGAAGAAGAGAATGGGGAAGAAAACGTGAATGAGAATCCAGAAGATGAAGAGGCTGAATCTGAAAAAGAAGAAGGGACTTCTGGTGCTGAAGAGGATCAGAACAGAGCAGAGGGTGAAGATTCTCAGCACCTTTCCTTTGTGTCTCAGGCTAAAAAAGGGAAAGATCAGTTGCTGAAGTCAGCGGAGGTGCGAGTGAGCGCTGTTGTGGAGAGCCACCCGTCCATACAGGATTACACCTTCGACACTGAGAGTGAGCTTTGGTGTGAGGTAAGGTGGAAAACATCTCTGGCTGCTTGCACAGTGGTGGCTCCCATAACTAATGGCTCTTTTCAGTGCAGTGCTGCTGTTCTGTCTCAGCAACCCCATGTGAATACAGAAAGCGGCACTACAAATACAAAGTGGCAATACGAATGTATTTTTTGATGGCATTTTTAGTAATTTCTCATTTTCAGAACACCTCATGGAACTTTTTCTAAAACCAATTTTTTGACAGGTTTATTGTTTTAATCTTTTAGTATATGATGGTCTGCTGTGGTGGTGTTTACAGGGGTCTTAGGGTGAGGGAAGAGATGAGAATGTTTACTCCATGTTTCAGAAGGCTTGATTTATTATTTTATGATATATATTATATTAAAACTGTACTAACAGAATAGAAGAAGGGATTTCATTAGAAGGCTGGCTGAGAATAGAAAAGGAATGGAATGATAACAAAGGCTTGTGACTGACTGAGACAGTCTGGACAGCTGGGCTGTGATTGGTCATTAATTAGAAACAACCACATGAGACCAATCACAGATGCACCTGTTGCATTCCACAGTAGCAGATAATCATTGTTTACATTTTGTTCCTGAGGCCTCCCAGCTTCTCAGGAGGAAAAATCCTAAGGAAAGGATTTTTCATAAAAGATGTCTGTGGCAGTCTGCTGTGTAGCCCTTGATGAATAAAAGCGATGGCTGAACTGTTGATAAAAATGTAAAAATCTTAATAAAGAAATAAAAACCTCAACGAGCATATACCTGACAGGAGAGATAAACAAACAAAAAAAAATTGCTGTCCTTGTAAGTTGAGACCTCAAAAGCAATGTGGATGAACAACCCTGGGATGGGGAGTTCACATTGCCATCACTCACCTCTAATTCCAGTCAGACATTTATGCTCCCTAACACACAACCAGGGTAATTCCACGTGTCAGCTTTTTGCCTGAAGAGAAGAGTGCTGCCTGCTGAGCCTGCTGTTGAAGCCTCCTTCCCTGTGCTGTTTCCCATCAGGTTTCCCTGGCCCTGCCTCTGACCAAGGTGTACTTTGACGTGTCGTCGCTGCTGGCGGCGCTGGCGCGCAGCACGGTGATCCACGAGGTGAAGGGCATCGCGCGCTGCCTGCTCAATGAGGGCACCAGCAAGGAGGGACACAAGGAGTTTGTTCTCCAGACAGAAGGGATCAACCTGGCAGAGCTCTTCAAATACTCTGATGTGTGTCATCTGTTTCTAACCCCAATTTCAATGTTCTTTTGTGTCTGGGGGAGATGGTGGGTGATGGATGTCATTTCAGTTTCTCAGGGGTGATGTGGAGCCTTTCAGCTCCTGAACTGTTTTCTTCCTCCTTTTTATCCCCAGATTTATTCATTACATCTTTTCTCAAGGGAGAAAGGAGCCTTTTCTCAAGGGCAGCTTGCAAATCAGTGTTTGTGCAGCAGCCAGGGCCTAATGACAGATGATTTCACACCATTCTTCCCTCTCATGTCTCTCTAAATGTTACTTGAGGGAGTTCTTCATCTCAATGAATTGCAGTGCTTGGAGATGAATAGTTCTGTTATCCCATCTAGGCCATAGCTCTCCAAATACAGGATTGTTTTAATCTGCATCTTCTCTTTTGCTAATAGTTCTGGCTGGCTGAGCCACACTGGGCATTGCATTGTGTTTGGATGACTTTAACTTGTTTTCTGTTAAGTCTTCTTTTGGAAGGCTTTAACTTCTTTAACTTGTTTTCTGGTGTAATTTGTTAGCTTGCTTTTTGTGATTTCAGTTAATTTTCTCCTGTGGTGAATTTTGACTCCAGTGCTCCTATTCATTTATTTAATGCTGCTTAACACAAATCCTCAGAATCATTTTTCTCTGTGTTTGACAGCTAGGCTGCTGCCTAGTTATTCTGTAACTCTTGGTGCTGCTTAAGCTCATGAAAAACATAGGAAAAAAATCTGTCTTAGTTTAAGTTATTTAGAAATACAGAGCAACTGTTGTCCTAACTTGTGTCTCTGTTTTTTCTGCTTTCAGATTTTGGACCTGAACAGACTTTATTGCAATGATATCCATTCCATGGCTAAGAATTATGGAATTGAATCAGCCCTGAGGGTGATTATAAAGGAAATAAAAGATGTATTTGCTGTATATGGTAGGATTTCTTTGTATTTTATAGTCTTTAATAACATTAAGATAGGAAAATACAGATACGTGCTTTCAGATATGATTTTGCATGACCTTTTCATTTATGTGCTTATTTTTGGGTTGCAGGTTTTCATTGTTTTAATTATTGTAGAGTATTCTGTTAATTATTAATTTTTTTTTAATCAGTAGGAAACAGGTAAGATTAAATTTATTCCCTTTGACAGTTTTTCCATTTTGGTACATTTTTTGCAAGCTGCAAGTTTCAGACCAATTAATTATTAATGTCTGAGGAAGCCAACTGTTAGACTTGTGCAGTGGCCCTGAGAAGAGGCTCAACCTTGCCTCACTTTGCCTTTTTAATGATGGGAGCCCAGGCTCCTGAGATTTTCTATCTTTGCTAAAACAGCTGCACTGCATTGTCTGAATGTTCTTGTCTCAGGTGATTCAGAGAGCCCAGCCTGGGCAGCCTGCATGGCTTCAGAGGCACTCACTGGGAAATAAACCATTGAAAATAGGGGAGATTAATACAGTGGGAATTTTAGCAAGCAGTTATAGCAAACAGATTTGCCAGCTGGCAGCTCAGAATGGTCTAACCTTCAAGTTGTTCAGGAACTGCTCAGTAAATGTTGACAGATCTGTTAATGACCCCCATTGCACTGAGTCCACATGTGTTAGTTAGGAAAAAATGCATTTTTTTTAGCCTGAAAAGGGATTTCTGTGAATGCCTGATGTCATGCACAGAGGACATCAGAGCCTTTGTGACTCTGGGGCCCAGCTA